CGCAGTGGTCTCAGGAAATGAGTGAAGGTACTGCAAGTCCCATTAGCCATAGTCCAAACTAAACCACACCAGGATGTAGAGTGGGTCCTGGGGGCTCTGTGTGCCAAGTTTGGTCTTGGTCCATCATTGGTGGGGTCACAGTGGTCTTTGGAAGTGATTGTCGGTATTGAAAGTCTTATTATTATTATTATCTGTGTGCCAAGTTTGGTCCTGATTGATCATTTTTTGGTTGTAGTGGTCTCTGGAACTGGGTGTAGCTACTGAAAATCCCATTATCCATGGTCTGTTATTCCCCCAAACCGCACCAGGATGTAAAGTGGATCATGATGGCTCTGTGTGCCAAGTTTAGTTCTGATTGGTTATTGGTTTGGGTCACAGTGGTCTCAGGAATTTAGTGAAGGTATTGCAAGTTCTATTGTCCATGGTCCAGCGTCCTCCAACAGCACCAGAATGTAGAATGAATGTCAGGGCTCTGTGTGCCAAGTTTGGTCTTGATCAGTCATTGGTGAGGGTTGCAATGGTCTCAGGAAGTGAGTGAAGGTACTGCATCTCCCATTATCCATTGCCCATCATCCCCCAAACCTCACCAGGATATAAAGGGGGTCATGAGGGGTCTGTGTTTCAAATTTGGTCCATGTTTGTTATTTGTGAGGCCACAGTGTTTTGTGGGAAGTGAATTGGGTGAAGGTTCTGCAAATCCCATTGTCCATGGTCCATCCTCCCTTAAACTTCACCAGGGCATGAGGTGGGTAATGGGGGGCTTGTGTGCCAAGTTTGGTCCAGGTCCATCATCCATGGATGTTGCTGTGGTCTCAGGAAGCGAGTGAAGGTACTGCAAATCCCATCATCCTTGGTCCACCCTCCCTCTAACCACACCAGGACATAAAATGGGACATAGGGTGTATGTGTGTGCCAACTTTGGTCCTGATCCATCAATGGTGGTAATCATTTGGTGTGCAAATAGGGACCACATTAGCTCCTTTGAATTAGTGGGTCTTAGAAGATTAAAAATCAATTAAGATTTAATAGAAGTAATGACTCCTACATATCTCTAAATATTTGTGGAAGCTTCGTATCTTTATTTTTTTCCCTTTTGCCAGCGTGAGCCTGACTGGGTAAAGAATTAGATGTTGATGTCTGGAAACTTTGGTTATTCACAGGTTTAAAAAACACTTGGTGACAGAACTCTGACAGAACTAATCACTGTGCTTGTTCATATAATCATAGAACCATGTAATCCAAGCACAACAGATAGCCATCCAACCTCTGTTTAAAAGCCTCCATAGAAGGAGCCTCCACCACACTCCGAGGTTCAACCATTGAACAGCTCTTATGGTTAGGAGGTTCTTCCTAATGTTAAGGTGCAATCTCCTTTCCTGTAATCTGAAGCCATTGTTTTGAGTCCTAGGATCATGCACTTAGTAAACGGAGAAAGCCATCACATGATGCAAGGCCTTTTCCTGTGGGACTTTGTGGCTCCGTTTCCTAAGCACAAGGAAACAGAGTCTGAAGATCATTGACTTCAAGCAGCAGAATGCAGGAAAAATAATACAATAGAATAGCTTTATTGTCATTGTACTATTGCACAGCAAAATAAAATGCCTTCCCCAACACATCACAAAAACAACACACTAGGCATGGTTAGGTCAGGTCGGAATATTCGTAATTCGGAATAAATTCGGAAATATTTGCTTTTTGAAGCAATTTCAAAGTTTTTAAGGAAACCGTAAGTCCCTTTGCCGTTCCGAAGCTTTTTCCGCCATTTCTGTTACGAAGCAGTAAGTGAGTTGGAAATGATTCAGCTTTTCCCCACTTCTGGTCTCAAGCCTGGGGAGTGTTTTAAACCAGACTGGATGGATTCTCTGCCTTTTCTCTCCCCTCACTTCTGGTCTGGAGCCTGGGAAGCGTTTCAACCAGAGTGAATGGATTCCCTGCCTTTCATCAAACATTGCTTCTGGTTTTGAGCCTGGGAAGCGTTTTAAACCATAGTGGATGGAATTCATGCCTTTCCTCCCCCCTCACTTCTGGTCCGGAGCCTGGGAAGCGTTTTAAACCAGGCTGGATGGATTACCTGCCTTTCCTCTCCCCTCACTTCTGGTCTTTAGCCTGGGAAGTGTTTTAAAACAAAGTGGATGGATTCCCTGCCTTTCCTCTCCCCTCACTTCTGGTCTCGAGCCTGGGAAGCTTTTTAAACCAGAGTGGATGGATTTCCTGCCTTTCCTCTCTCCTTGCTTCTGGTCTTGAGCCTGGGAAGCGTTTTAAAACAAAGTGGATGGATTCCCTGCCTTTCCTCTCCCCTCGCTTCTGGTCTTGAGCCTGAGAAGGTTTATAAACCAGACTGGATGAATTTCCTCCCTTTGCTCCCCCACTTCTGGAGTAAAACAACTACTTTCAAAGAAAAGATCACCCAATGAAACAGGAAATAACACTTTCAAACCATTAAGGAAGGATATGGAAGTCTCAGAAGTTTTGAAAAGTTTTGAACATTTTTTTCTGTGGAAATCGGAATTGACTTCCGAATCAAACCACCAGCGCCCCCTACATCTGAAAAGAGTTTTGAACCATTTTATTTGATCAAATAAACCTACAACACACCCATCCCTCCACACTCCAACCGCCATCGGACAGACCCCAATGCCACATATATGTGAAATCATGGAGTTCAATATAGTTACAGCGATAGGATAAAACCTTTCTCTCAGTATGTTTGTCCTTGTCTTTGTCATCCTGTACCATCTGCCAGGTGGCAATAATTTAAAAAAGAACATGCTGGGTAAGATGTATCCCCAAGAATTCTCTGAGCTTTCTTTCATACACACACACACACACACACACACACACACACACACACACACACACACACACATATACATATATATAACATATACTATATATATATATATATATATATATATATATATATATATATATATATATATATATATAAAGAGAGAGAGAGAGAGAGAGAGAGAGAGAGAAAGTCCATTTACTGGAGTATAGAGAAAGGATATAGGAAAGTATAGGAGAAGAAAGAAGAGCAAGAATATAGGGGCTGGTGGATGGGGGGTGATACAGAGAACTACCGCTCCCAAATGACAAATCAAATTTTTTGTGATGGTCACTCCTTGGGTTAGTAGGTGTCTTGTGGCCAAATTTGGTGGCAATTAGTCGGGTGATTTTTGAGTTATGTTAATCCCACAAACAAACATTACATTTTTATTTCTATAGATGGTGATCATGTCTCCTCTCATCATGGTGTACTTCCTCAAAGTTGTGGCCGGTTTGCTTCCAATTGACTTTCTCTCTCTCTCTATATATATATAATGTTTTTTCTCATACATATATATATATATATATACATATATATATATATATATATATAATATTTCTATATTTCTATTTATATATATTTCTATATATATATATAGAGAGAGAGAGAAAAAAGAAAGTCCATTTACTGGAGTATAGAGAAAGGATATAGGAAAGTATAAGAGAAGAAAGAAGAGCAAGAATATAGGGGATGGTGGATGTGGGGTGATACAGAGAACTACTGCTCCCAAATGAGAAATCATTTTTTTTTGTGATGGTCACTCCTTGGGTTAGTAGGTGTCTTGTGGCCAAATTTGGTGGCAATTAGTCGGGTGATTTTTGAGTTATGTTAATCCCACAAACAAACATTACATTTTTATTTCTATAGATGGTGATCATGTCTCCTCTCATCATGGTGTACTTCCTCAAAGTTGTGGCCGGTTTGCTTCCAATTGACTTTCTCTCTCTCTCTATATATATATAATGTTTTTTCTCATACATATATATATATATATATATATATATATATATATATATATAATATTTCTATATTTCTATTTATATATATTTCTATATATATATATAGAGAGAGAGAGAAAAAAGAAAGTCCATTTACTGGAGTATAGAGAAAGGATATAGGAAAGTATAAGAGAAGAAAGAAGAGCAAGAATATAGGGGATGGTGGATGTGGGGTGATACAGAGAACTACTGCTCCCAAATGAGAAATCATTTTTTTTTGTGATGGTCACTCCTTGGGTTAGTAGGTGTCTTGTGGCCAAATTTGGTGGCAATTAGTCGGGTGATTTTTGAGTTATGTTAATCCCACAAACAAACATTACATTGTTATTTATATAGATGGTCTTAGGATCCCCTTTGGCAGAGAAGGCTGTGTACTTCCTCAAAGTTGTGGCCGGTTTGCTTCCAATTGACTTTCTCTCTCTCTCTATATATATAATGTTTTTTCTCATACATATATATATATATATATATATATATATATATATAATATTTCTATATTTCTATTTATATATATTTCTATATATATATATAGAGAGAGAGAGAAAAAAGAAAGTCCATTTACTGGAGTATAGAGAAAGGATATAGGAAAGTATAAGAGAAGAAAGAAGAGCAAGAATATAGGGGATGGTGGATGTGGGGTGGTACAGAGAACTACCGGGTGATTTTTGAGTTATGTTAATCCCGCAAACAAACACTACATTTTTATTTCTATAGATGGTGATCATGTCTCCTCTTAGCATGGTGAACTTCCTCAAAGTTGTGGCTGGTTTGCTTCCAAAGCTCCTTTCACAACTTCCAGCCAAATAATAGACAGTAAGCAGAACTGGGCTGTATATTTGAGAGATTTTAAAGACTTTTTCCACTCACTCCTCTTGCCAAATTGCCAAGAAATGAGCTACAGGTGTCCAAACTCTCATCAACCCAGCTGATCAAAATGACCAGAGATAGGAACGGCAAGCCTCAGTTTCTCAGACCCTTCATCTCAAATAGTTTTGGATTATCTTATGATGCTTGGACACTTCTCTTACTGTTTGGCTTTTGCTTGATTCCCTGTTCTGCTTTGCGATTTCCCTGATCTTCCTCTCTGGGTTTGTATATGTGTGAGATCTCTCTCTCTCTTTCTCTCTGCTTGTCAGAAATTTCTTTTCCACTGTGTGGGCAGGAGTCAGATTTTTACCATCTCGGTTTTCATCCCCTCCCTGCAGTCTTTCCTTCTGCCCCTTCCCACCTCTCTTTCTTCTTCTGCCTTTCTCTCCATCCTCAGTCCTTTTATCCGTTCAATATTTATTTCCCTCCGCCTTTTCCTCCTCCCTTTCCTTCTCTCCTCCCTCTTTCAGTCTTCTTTTCTCTTCCATGTAGAAATAATGCTTCTTTAATGCTTCCACAGTCCAGATCCTGGAGCCATGCAAGTGATCCAAGGTAAGTGCTTCTTTTAGCTTTGCCTATGTTTGCAAGGATGTCTATCTGGGGGTAGATTGCTAGCTTTCTAAAAGTAGACAATGCCACTTTAATTTTTTTTAAAAAATTACTTATTATTTTTTGCCGTCATACGTAAAAGGAATCCTAGACGGAGCTGATCTCAGTGCAATGCTGCTACCTGTTGGGGAGAAATGGATGGCTTCAGGACTCCCCAGTCTCTTTCCCAGTGGTTACTATTTGCTTCCTATTATATACACACACACATTGGCATCTTAGATGAATTTTACCTTATCTCGAATGGCTTTTCTTTTTAGTACTTCTTTTATGGCAATGCTGAGAACTCTAGACAGCGACATAGATGCTTTTTGCTGTCACCGGATTTAAGAGCAACCTGGTCAGAGGTAAGAGCATGACAGTCTCTTTGCCATCCTTTCCTCTGTTTGCCCAGGAATAGCTTGGTGAAGGTATTAGGTGGGTGAATGGGGTCCTGCCCCCTCCACTACACCTCTATTTACAAAGATGCATTTGCAAAGATCCCTCTCCAACCCTCTTTGTGTGTTTTTAAAGTTTTAAAGAGGGACTTCAGTCAGGAAGAGTGATGCTCTCTGCTTGCCTTTGCTGCCTTCTGGCCAGAGAAAGTTTTTATTAAGGTAGCCTTAGTGCATCCAGAGGTTACTCAGTTTTTTTAAGGTGGATCCCTTTAAGGTATTTATTTATCGCGTCATCAGCAACCATACCATTGTATTACATTTCTAACAGAACAAAACAAACACAAATTTTGCAAAACTTGGTAGTTGATTAAATGTCCTTTGACCAGTATCTGGCCACTTGGAGTGCCTCTGGTGTTGCTGCAAGGAAGTCCTCCATCGTGCATGTAGCAGGGCTCAGGTTGCATTGCAGCAGGTGGTCTGTTGTTTGCTCTTCTCCACACTTGCATGTCGTGGATTCAACTTTGTAGCCCCATTTCTTAAGGTTGGCTCTGAATCTTGTGGTGCCAGAGCGCAGTCTGTTCAGCGCCTTCCTAGTCGCCCAGTTTTCTGTGTGCCCAGGGGGGAGTCTCTCATTTGGTATCAGCCATGGGTTGAGGTTCTGGGTTTGAGCCTGCCACTTTTGGACTCTTGCTTGCTGAGGTGTTCCTGTGAGTATCTCTGTAGATTTTAGAAAACTATTTCTTGATTTTTAAGGCATTGGCGTGCTGGCTGATATCTGAACAGAGGATGGGCCGGAGATGTCACTGCCTTGGTCCTTTCATTATTGGCTGCTACTTCTCAGCGGATGTCAGGTGGTGCAATACCGGCTGAACAGTATAATTTCTCCAGAATAGAGTTGGAAGAGACCTCATGGGCCATCCAGTCCAACCCCCTGCCAAGAAGCAGGAATATTGCATTCAAATCACCCCTGACAGATGGCCATCCAGCCTCCGTTTAAAAGCTTCCAAAGAAGGAGCCTCCACCACACTCCGGGGCAGAGAGTTCCACTGCTGAACGGCTCTCAAAATCAGGACGTTCTTCCTCATGTTCAGATGGAATCTCCTCTCTTGTAGTTTGAAGCCATTGTTCTGCGTCCTAGTCTCCAAGGAAGCAGAAAACAAGCTTGCTCCCTCCTCCTCCCTGTGGCTTCCTCTCACATATTTATACATGGCTATCATATCTCCTCTTAGCCTTCTCTTCTTCAGGCTAAACATGCCCAGCTCCTTAAGCCGCTCCTCATAGGGCTTGTTCTCCAGACCCTTGATCATTTTAGTCGCCCTCCTCTGGACACATTCCAGCTTGTCAATATCTCTCTTGAATTGTGGTGCCCAGAATTGGACACAATATTCCAGGTGTGGTCTAACCAAAGCAGAATAGAGGGGTAGCATTACTTCGCTAGATCTAGACACTATGCTCCTATTGATGCAGGCCAAAATCCCATTGGCTTTTTTTGCCGCCACATCACATTGTTGGCTCATGTTTAACTTGTTGTCCACGAGGACTCCAAGATCTTTTTCACACGTACTGCTCTCGAGCCAGGCATGTCCCCCATTCTGTATCTTTGCATTTCGTTTTTTCTGCCAGAGTGGAGTATCTTGCATTTGTCACTGTTGAACTTCATTTTGTTAGTTTTGGCCATCTCTCTAATCTGTCAAGATCGTTTTGAATCCTGCTCCTGTCCTCTGGACTCTTGGCTCGTGCAATACCAGCTAAACAGTGTAATTTCTCCAGTGGTGTAGGACGCAGACACCCTGTGATAATGTGGCATGTCTCATTAAGAGCCACATCCACTGTTTTACCATGGTGAGATGTGTTCCATACTGGGCATGCATACTCAGCAGCAGAGTAGCATAGTGCAAGGGCAAATGTCTTCACTGTGTCTGGTTGTGATCCCCAGGTTGTGCCAGTCAGCTTTTGTATGATATTGTTTCTAGCGCCCACTTTTTGCTTGATGTTCAGGCAGTGCTTATAGCAATAGTTCCCTTTAAGGTGAACTATTGCTAAAATATACAAGGGTAGGACTGGACTGTTCATGGCTGTTTTAAAAGACCAAGGAATGACAGGCTTTTTGTTGTTTGTTTGACTTCTCTCCTCCTCCTCCTCCCCCAAAATATTGCAGCCTTTATTTTGTCAGTTTAATTGTCAACTCGTTAATGTTTAGAGTCATAATCTTGCTCCATTCACAATTTTGGACCGCCATTCATTGGGGTTTCTAGAGAGAGTCTTTTCAGCTAATTCATGTCACATTCTGGCCATGTGCTTAGTACAAGTGTTCCCTGTCACACCATATGTGATTCATTTCTCCTTTTAAAGGCTGTATCAGAATTTGGGAAAGCGTTTGGCTTCATCTCTCCCTCCTCCCAGCACAAATGGAATTGAATCTCGGCCCCCTTCGAAACTGCTATATATCCAGATTATCTGTGGTCCCTTCCACACGGCTGTATAAACACCCACACTGAACTGGGTTATATGGCAACATGGGATCAGATAATCCAGTTCAAAGCAGATATTGTGGATTATCTGCCTTGATGTTCTTGGTTATATTATTTATTATTTACTAGCTGTCCCCTGCCATGCATTGCTGTGGCCCAGTCTGTTGATCTGGAAAATAAAGTAACGAGAAAGTGTTGGTTTCTAATATCTGTAATGTCTTGATGCTTGTGGTTAAACTGTATTTCTTGCTGTTTCTTTGTCAGAGTTGATGTGGAGATTGTCTAGTTTGCCTACTCTGGATCATGCAATAATAATAATAATAATAATAATAATAATAATAATAATAATAATAATACTTTATTTATACCCCGCTACCATCTCCCAAGGGACTCGGTGCAGCTTACATGAGGCCGAGCCCACAGCACATCAATAAAAAAGCAATAACAACAAGCAATACAAAACAGTCAAAATAAATGTCATAAACAAAAAAGCAGTAAAAATTAACACGGAATGTTAAAAGGGAGGGGGCTGATCTGATATCCCTAGGAAGGGCGTTCCATAGCCGAGGGGCCACCACTGAGAAGGCCTTGTCTCTCGTCCCCACCAGGCGTACTTGTGACGAAGGCGGCATCTCCTCCTACAAACCTGCCCGTTCCCTTCGTTCTTTGGGGGAGGCCCTTCTTTCGCCCCCTCCATTATCACAGACCCGACTTAAGGGAATGAGGGAGAGAACTTTCTCCTCTGTGGCCCCTCGACTCTGGAATGCATTACCTAGCGAGATTAGGCTAGCCCCTTCCTTAGAAATTTTTACGAAGAACCTCAAGACGTGGCTTTTCCATTGCGCTTTTGGGGAGTGATTTCCCATCTCCTTTGTTGTGCTCCTCTATAATGGGTGTCCTCATATTGTATTGACTCCTGTCCTTATGAAGGATTGTCACTACTATTCCGTTCATGAGTCTCCTTTAGAAACATAGGTTTTTATTTTTCTCTCATCCTGAGTTTTTATCATTGCATTTTACACATGTGGCCCGCTCCTTGTGATTGTGTTTGATTTTCTATTGTATTATTTTGTATTGTTTGTTTGTTATATTTTATGCTTGTCTTATTCTATTTTATTATGATATTGCCTTGTGTTTTTTTGTTACTGTATTGTAATGCCTTTCTGGGCTTGGCCTCATGTAAGCCGCCCCAAGTCTCCTTTGGGGAGATGGTGGTGGGGTATAAATAAAGATGATGATGATGATGATGATGATTATGATGATGATGATTATTATTATCGAGAGCAGGGCCTCCCCAGATGAAATCAAGGTCCTAGATCAGGGGTCCTCAAACTTTTTAAACAGAGGGCCAGGTCACAGACCCTCAAACTGTTGGAGGGCCGGATTATAATTGGAAAAGAACATGAATGAATTCCTATGCACACTGCATATATCCTATTTGTAGTGCAAAAAACCAAAAACAATACAATAATTAAAACGAAGAACAATTTTAACAAATATAAACTTATTAGTATTTCAATGAGAAGTGCCGGCCTGCTTTTGCCTGATGAGATAGGATTGTTGTTGTTGTTGTGTGCTTTCATTTCGGATTTAGGTTGACCCTGAGTGAGGGCCAGGTAAATGACCTTGGAGGGCCGTATCTGGGCCCCGGGCCTTAGTTTGAGGACCCCTGGCCTAGATGGTTCATAAGGGGAGATGCGTTTGGACAGATAGGTTGCGCCAGAATAGTTTAGGGCTTTATTGGGTAAAGCCAGTACTTTGAATTGTGCCCAGTAGCAAACTGGCAGCCTGTGGAGCTGGCGCAACAGAGGAGTTGTGTGCTCCCTGAATGCCGCTCCTGTTAGCAACCTGGCTGCCGTTAGTTGGACCATTTGAAGCTTCTAGACAGTCTTCAAAGGCAGCCCCACATAGAGTGTGTTGTGGTAGTCTATTTGTTTATGTTATTTTTCACTACAAATAAGATATGTACAATATGCATAGATGCTCATTATTATTTTTCCAAATTATAGTCTGATGGACCGTGAACCGGCCCTTGTCTTAAAAAGTTTGAGCTGTTCTGAATTAGTATAAGGCGGCTTCATTTCTTCAAAATCCTTTT